ACTATTACTGTTACTTCCAAAAATTTTCGTCACTCCATTGAACAGTAACTGTTCCCTCCTTTAGTGGCTGATAATCTCAATTCTACTGTCTATGAATTTGCTTATTGTTGGTATGTCATTTAAGTAATATCACACAACATTTGTTCTTTTATGTCTCACTGATTTCACTTAGCATGTTTTCAAGTTTCCTCTATGTTGTAGCATGTGGCAGATTCTTTGTTTTTATGACTGTAAAATATTCTATCTTATATACTACTAGGGACCCCTGAAACATTACTAGAAACCTCTGCAGTAGGCTCCAGTCTCCTGCTCAGTGTATATCATAGGCCTGAGGAAAAAAACCTAAAAGACAGAACTAAGAGAGGCAGAAAGCAAGATGCCAGGACGACCAATGCCGGTAGAACTGACAAAGGCCCTGGCCAGTCCAACCCACTGATTTTTATTGGTTATCAGATGGGGTAAAGACAAGCTACACGCAGTTTCTATGGAAACTAATGGGGACAAAGCTCATAAAGAAAAAGACAAAGCGTTCTTTTTTTTTGGTACCAGGGATTGAACTTGGGACCTTGCACTTATGAGGCAGGCAAAGCATTCTTGAATTAGGAACAGAACAGACAAAATATATGATTGCAATTATCCAGTGAGAAGGTTTTAGTTGTGGGAATGGAATTTGGGTGCAAGTTACTCTGACCTTCAGCCAGACTCATTTCTCAAAGCCGGCCAACTGTGGGGTTAGCTCTTCACAGCTGGCGCTGCTTACAGCCTGCTTTGAGCATAATCAGTATTGCAGTCTCTCAAAATATACCATATTTTATCTGTTAATTCATTCTCATTTTGACATCAATATGATGTGAGATGAGAGAAACAATGTTTAGTGCCAGAGATTCAGTCTACTAATTGAATAACTGAGAGAATGGAAACCTTCTAAATGGTGGGGACTTCTCCAGGTCTTCTCTGGGACACAAAGAGGATATCAATAATGCTTGTCATCCAATTTTCACTTAGTTTTTCCCTTACCTGCTCATACAGGACTTAGGTACTTTTAAGCACTCCTTTGCTCCCTCCCCACAAACATATGTACACACATGGACACATATGCACATATGTGCATTTTAAGGGATCAACAGCCTCATTTTAACATCTGCTTTGCTTTCCACTGAGTCTGTCTAAACACAGCCACCTCCCACTTGGCATCTGCTGGGTGTTGCCCTATGGGTGAGCCATCACTGATTTCCCCAACTGATGTCCCTAAGGGGCTGCCATTCCCTAAGGTGCTGCCATCATCCATGGAGCAGCCTCTCTCCTGCAGCAGCAGCTCTGGAATCCTCAGGATCCCAGGCTCACACAATTCTGTTCCACAGTGGACTTTTCCCTACCCTGTTGAGTCACACTCAGTACAAGGTGGCTACAGCCCCGTGTTTCCCATGGGTTTGTGGGAAACGACAGGGATTGCCCCTCCACTCTGATGTGGATGGCTTTTGTGAAGCTCAGGCAGTCTCTTCCCTTATAAGGTATTCTCTCTCCTCAACTCCTCAGCCTGTGCACGCTGGCTTCAGGCCTGCCCACCCTCTGTTGCTTCACATATGTCCAATATATCAGAATTGTAGAGTGCGCTCAAATTAGAACTCCTACCTAGATATCTAAGTATAGCTGGTGAAATTCCAAATGAACATCTACCAGAAATATGAGACTTTTGAGGAAAATACATTGTTAGTTCCTGGTGTTTTCCCATACATCCTGTTCCCTCTTCACAGGAGGGAACTCTTTAAATTCTGCTTTCCTGTGGGGTTCAACTTGTAGAAGGTTCTCTTTAATGCAGAAGGTTCCCATAATGATAGGCTCAATTTCAGGGGGATCGTATCCTCTAGAATTTTGTAAAAATCTGATTTGTGGTATCCGATTCCTTACCACAAAAGGGGAATATTCATTTTCTCAGTCCTTTTAAGTACTGTCTAGGTGTCAGGTATGTTTTCTCATAGAGAATGCTTTAAGGCCCAAATCTGACTCTGTCCCATGCATACCCTTGTTCTAACAGCTCTTGCTTATCCTTCTTCAGCTCCTAAAGCTCAAATATTCTTCCTACTCCATCATTTTGATCTTAAGATTGAAAGAACAACATTTCCTGGGCCTTAACCAGACTTTCATCTGTGGCTTAGATGCTGTCAAAGACTTACCCCAAAATGGGAAGTGTATTTTAGGTCTTGGCTGTCTGACAATGTTGGGGAGGTTTAGTGCCTGTTA